CGATTATTCTTTTATGATTCTATCCTGTGTCTAGTGGCTAGGAGAGTCCCAACCTTAGAGATACTGTCTCTGACAGTACCGGCCGCGTTTAGCCTCCTAGTAATCATTAAATGGTTTTAGCCTTTTTTCTGAGCAACTTAAGAATTCCCAGGGACGACATCACGCTTAAGAAATAGGAGATCTAAATTACAAAGTCTTTCAGAAAACCTTTTCTGAGAAATGAATAGCCGTCTCTCTGGTCAAAGTAATTGCTTCCCATTCAGGTTATCATTATCATCAGGTTATCAGGTCATCATTTGATTACTCTAAGTGACGCGAGTCAAAAGTTCTCATTTTTCACTTGGTTGCTGCATATGTAACATATAGTATGAATGCCGTTTTGAGTATCGATAGTGTCATTTGTCAAAGGTTTTAATTTAATAGAAATCATACCATTTACAGGTAGCACATATTTTTTGTCACTTGCAAAAGAAGTGTTGTTCATGCGCGAAGAAAAACAGAAAAAAACGTAATCTTCGTATTCGTATTCTTGTTATAATTATGAATACTTCACATTCTGGGAAAACTTGTCAACATTTGAATGAAGCTTACAGGAAAAAAAACCCCTAAAAATTAGGAGCCCTTTGGAATCTTCACATTATGTCATATTTACCAAGGAAATCCAACGTTTTCGGCTTTCGAAAGGGTGGCTCCTTTCTAATTCATGAAATTCTCTTTGCTAAATTGTACAATTTGTAAATCATATTTCAGCTCATGAAGCTGTTTTTTTCCCCGCTTTTTCGGAATCTGATCCCAAACAACCGAAAGGTTTTGCACATTCAGGGAAAGTCCCGAGGGCACGGAAAAGCCGAACAGTCGCGAATAACGAAAAAAAAAAACGACCAACCTTGTAATGGGAGTAGACCACGAGGAGGAAGTGGATCTGGATGGAGAAACCGATGGCGCACGCGATCACCAAGATGATGAGCAGCGGAAAGTCCTTCGGGCTGACGACGAGCACGATGATGATGACGATGACCGCAAGGCTCGTCAGCAGGATCAGCAGCAGGGTGTTCACCCACAACCACGGAATTATCAGTTTCCTCTTCATCTGAAACATGGGAAAAAAAATGCATCCCTGGAAATGAGCTGAACGCCTTCACCCGCCTCACTCTGGTCACTCTTCAAGTCAATTTTCTTTTCTCCTCTGGAATTAAATATTTTTAAATGCCAAGCTATCTTTTTTTTTTAAGTTAAAATCCCAATGGTGGATTTTTGAACAGAGAACTATCCGATGATGCTGCTTTATTCCATGGAAAATACAAAACGTGATATTTTCTGGAAATAAATCAGGATTATCTGATAGTTCTTTGCTCAAAAATCCACGCCAACAGTGACTTCTATCCGTCTTTCTTCCGCAATATCATCGTTCAAAGGAAGAGGCTTTCATCACTTTTTGAATGAACACTCGTGAATATTAAATAAATAAATAATTTTCTGCTTTTACTGGCTCGAGAGACGAACCTTGACGATCCCATGGACCAGAAGGGAGTCGACGACGATCCAGACGACGGTGAAGACAGTATTGACGATAGGGATTTTCTCCAATGCTGAAAAAGTCGAATGGAATCGAAAATCTCGAACGAAACCAGATTGAAAACTCGGAAATGGTCGCACTTTCGCAAACGACGAGCACCCACTTTCTTTGGAAATATACTCCGCGTGCCGATCTCCGTGCCAACTGGTCCACTCCACGCCATCAGCCAAAAAAGCCACGCTCGTGATGAGGGAGATGGAATGGTAAACCTGCAAAAGAAAAAAGTCTGCTTACGACCGTGACTGAGAATCTCCTTCATCTCTTGGGTAAGTAGTCTTCGATTTGGTCTTTAGTTTACAAATAATTTTTGTACTTAAGGTACCGGAGTTATGAACAATTCCAAATATTTGTTTTCGTGATTCTGTATTTCGCATCTATGAGCTGATATTGTATGGAATTCGATCAATTATTCGTCCTAAGAGTATTACTAACTTTTTTTTAAATTCCTGCATCTTATGATTTTCATAAATTTTCCTTGATGCTCTAAAACGGCAATAGTAAGATCTCTCTCACCATTGCACATTAATCTATCTCAGTACTCATAATTATACGTGGTTCAGGTTGAAGTCAAAAGCAACGTCCAAGCATATTTTGATTTTAATTCACTAAGTTTCTGGGGTAGCTACTTGCCAAGCACCATACAGTTACATCCTGGCAAGTCGGGAGAAGGAATGTGAAATACCTCCATATAAATTGCAGACCTCCTCCCAGGTATGCTCCTCGCCTGACAAAGTGCTGGAACAGGCGTTTTTGTTTGATATTTTCCGAATGCATTTACAATTCGAGGCTTGCTGTCGATTCTCGATAGGTTACTTATCGTTTAAAAATTCATTAGATGTAAAAAAAAAATTCGTTAGATGTCAAAACTTTCTTTGCTGGGAAAAAATGCATTATGTTCCAAGATTTAACCGCTGGTTCACCATCAAAATTCTCATACCAGTAGGTGAAAATGATGTCATCTTGCAGCCTTATACGTTTGAGCGGCGGAGGTGCGAGTTCTGATATTGTCGGATAGGCGAACCATGAACAATTAGTTTAGACATATACACGTATAGGTCATCCGAAAACTCTCATGTATTGGTTCATAAGTAATCTAATGCTCAACATAATATCATGCTATTTTCAGGGAACGTTTTCGAGAATGGCACCTCGTCAATGCACTCGTTAATGAGCTCCATGTATTTCTTAGCGGTGAAAGACCATGGAATCCAGAAAGTTGTTTCTTCGGGCAGGTCCAAAAGCGAAGCTTTGTAGGCATTGTTGATGGCGCTTGTGTCCTTAAACTAGTGTCAACGCAAGCTCTCCCCAACCTTGGGAGAGAGGAAGAAGCCATATGCTGAATCCTCGTAGATCCGGCTAGTAAGCAGGGTAAGCGAGCATCTCCCCGTCTCAGTCGGTCACGACATCCTTAATTTTTGCTTCCGATGAGTAGCCGCGCTGTCTTGCAACAGAAGCAGGTCCGTTTCCAGTAGATGGGGGCGTTCATTTGTGTATGGCTGGCCAGATAAAATTGCTGAGGATGTAGAAGCAGTCGTTTCCGTAGGCTATTTCGTTTCGGACTACCGCGGATGACACCATGCATGTCAAAGAACGCGATGTGCATCACGTTCAAAGAGGTCCACGTCCCAGAAGACATGGCTACGACTGGGATGTGCTCGCCCACCAGTTACCTCAGGATCTGTCGCCACGAGACTTCCACTTTTCATCCAAAGTGAAGGAAAGCTTGCGCGGACGACCATTTGAGGACACTGACGATGTCGACAGTGGCTTAAGAGCTTCGCTCCTGGACCTGGCCCAAGAAGGACACCATGGATTCCACTGTCTTGTGCCACGCTGTAAGAAAGGCAATGAGATCCTTGATGGCTGAGTTGAGTTGAGTAGAGAAATTTATTCCACTCTGGAGTAAATTTATTCAAAATGTCATGATATTATGTCGAGCTATACCTTACGTATGAAGCAATACCTGAGACTTTTCAGATGACCCACGTATTTACTGAGTGCTCGCCATGAACCACTAATTCCTTTGTGAAACCTTCATTAATATTAGTATTTTTTTTTAAAGGAACAACCGTGAATGTGATGTCAGCGTCGAAGGAATTTCTGGTTCCATTTGACTTGAGACAGGTTATCAAAACGAACATTTTTTTGGCGGGTGATCGTCTCAAAACCATTCATCAATCGCCGTTTTTAACTCAGAAATCAACTAGGCAAGAGAAAATGATGAGAGACGTGAAAATGGCGACATACCAAACTCAATATCGCAATGACGATGCTGCCACTCCTGTTGCTCAGACAGCCACAGCAGCAACGTTTCACAATCGGAATCTTCATCTTCGAAGAACGTTTCGTCTATATCTGAAGCACAAGAAGAGGAAACTCGAGCCGACGAGCTCACACGTTCGCAGCCTGCATATCCGTGCATCGCAGCCTGAATCAATTAACTTACGCGCATTCATATTCTAATTTGTTTCATGTGCACATGGGACAAGGGTGACAATGGATACACTTGAATGGATTGCCAGAGTGGTAGAAATCCAAACTGTCCCAGCAATCACGTCCAAGCGTAAGAAGACCTTTGGGTAGCTGATTGGTTAAATGGGATTTTAAGTATAGGCCCACTGCTGAATTTATCAGTAGCCTCTTTGTAAGGCAACTAAATAAAAAATATGTTTACTCTTGTTGAAAACCATAGAACCGTACCGTAATGAATATAAAGCACGTATGTATCCTACTTGAAGGACATGAGAGATATATAAATGCCATTTCCGGTGACCCTGGAGTCCAACTTTGCCAGCATCAATAATGATTCCTCATTGAGATTTCTCCTCGTGCTCGTCTTTCAAAATTCCTGGGAACCCCATAACGGCATGATCTCCTTCTGGGTCCTTGCGATTCTTTTGGTTGCTACGAGAAATCCACCAACGCTACGTTAAGAAAAGGTTGCAGATGGAGCCAGAGTTTTCCAGGTTGAATTGTCCCCAACATTCTTAACTTGATGAAGCTCGATGAGACTTCGGGAAATTTCGCGTTTTCGTAAGAATGCAAATACGTAAGAACCGGTTAGCCCAAATGTGCTCGTGCTTTTCCTGCCTTCTTTTATGGAACATTCCTTTTTTGGTACCTGACGGAAATTCAGCCCATACAATTTAGGCCCTCAACTGATTCCTTGTCCGAGAAACGTCTGAGAAACGTCCACTTTGTCTGGACTATTTTAGACATAACGAGAAAGTGGAATAACTGAGAAATGTTCCCCCTTTTCGAATGCCGGAGTAATGCAGGTCTCATCCAGTCCCAGGAAGGAAATCCCCCGTGCTACCTAGATTATGGTCACTGACACGCTTCTAACGCCTGAACTATATACACCAGAGATACACTAAGGTCTTGCTGAACCGCTAAACACGGGACACGAGGGGTCTTGTTGACGAAGAGTACTTGAAATCACAAAGAAGGCAAAGAACGAGAAGAAACAAGAGAGGCGAAGCGATCGCTATCTTGCCCTCGGTACCGACTGGCCCTTTTCCCTCAGAGAGCATCCTTCCCATCCCTTCCCTCCCTTCCATCCCTTCCTTTGCTCCTGCGGTCCACGCCTCTGGCTAGTCGGCGAGTGAGGAATGCATGTTGGGGAGGGGAGGCACGAGGAGAACACAAAATGTGGTACTGCGGAGTACATGGGTCTCTATATGGCTTATCGCTCATCAGTCGCTGTGTGTGCGAGGTTGGGGCTGCTGGCGCGTTTCACATGTATCGAGAACACTCTCGAGGTCGGAAATGAACTATATTTCCCTGCCTTCCCATCTGATGCTCTACACCTGCCCTATGTAGGCTATTCCGCAGCCGAGTCCCCAATAACGGCGGCAGAACATGTGCCGAGTAAAATCCCTACGACTGGATGAAAACGTAGCACACGTGCTACACGTGGCAATATCGAGGAGGTTTACGCGGAATGAAGCATGTTTGCACATACAAGGTTGTTTGTGGATGGCGGCTGGCGAGTCTGGTGCTATAACAGGAGCGAGACTACCCTGCGCTCATGGGGGAAGATTGGTTCTCGAGTGAGAGTTAGCGAAATGCGAGGTTGCCGCACGAGTGGCGGGAAATCATGGGTTGATTTGCATGCACAGAAGTACTTCTCGGTGTATTAATTTCAGGAAAAGCACTTTTATGTAGGGAAAACCCGTGATGGCATGTCCTTCAAAGGGCCAAGTTTTTTTTAAATATTTTTAGCGCCAGCAGTAAGGCAATATGAAGCAAACTGAAACTTGGTACTCGAGAACTTCTCGGGTTTTTTCATGATGAAAATTTAATGGTTTTCATGAAAATTCCAAAGTTGGGTACGAATTTTATGGGAGTCCACTTCTCACAGATTTTTTTCCCCCAAATCTTTTTGCTTCAGCGGAACGGCCATGCGTGACAGAAAGTCGATATTCCGATCATCGTTATTTATTCATTTATTTATCATATTCATCATATTCATATTCATCTATCATATTCATATTCATCTATCATATTCATATTCATCTATCATATTCATATTCATATATCATATTCATTATATTTATCATTTATTCCCCCTTGTGCTGCATATTCGGGCGCAATTTCCAGAAAATGTCCTCTCCGCCTAAACATGCGACCGTGCAGACGTGAATATCATAAAATAAGTTGTTTCTGGAGTGTTTCCCTCCTAAGAAAATTCCCCTTCACGGATTTATTCCCACAGGGCACTCTCTCTCTCTCCCCCGCCAAAATCGATGCAACCTGAAACGTTGCAGCGCCGAAGCCTCGACATCCACGACGTTGAATCAACGCTGAAAACCATTCCTCCCCGCATCGAATCAACATTACCTCCTTGCTGAAATGAGACAAGTCCTGGAAAATTCCATGCAGAGATCGCGGAAGGACGTCGAGAGCAAAGCGATTCGAGTCTAAGAAGAAGTTTGCTTCGGTGGGAGGGTTGCTTCTGTAAGGGGATGGGGTTTCATGGAGTCACGTGTGAACTTTGTTCTCTCCGGCCAGAATCGCCCTGGATCTCGGTGGGTTGGGTTGCCTCTTTCGTCGAGGGTGCTCGGATATTTAAATGCATTCCCAGGTGCCGTCTGAAGATAAAATATCAAGTACCGTTCCGAAAGTGCTGGGGACTCGTGCCAGCTGCATATGTGAGGCAAGGAATGTCTCGATGATGATGCGACGTTGACATTGTTCGACGTCCTTGCGATGTTTCTATTTTCGGCACTGTGTCAATGTCGACCATGCATTGGGTCGCCAGCGTCAACATCGTCAACATATCGTCACCGTCGAGTCAACGTTGTCGTCCGGACTGGGTCGCGAGGAGGCCACTCCTCGCTAAATTTATTCGTTCCTGCGAATTCGGCGCTTTGAGAAACCCTGCAATTTGGCAATCGTGTAGCCCTAGGAATCAGGAAGTCAGAGGACGTCAGCATCAGCTTTCGCTGATGCATCAGCTGATCGTTCGTCGGAAGGAAGCTCGTCGATTGCATTGGCTGATTCCATAATGAAAAAACACGGGCGATCAGTCGCAAAGTCGACGTGAGTTCGAAGGAAGGATCTCTTATCAGAAAGATGTTGGCGAATGATTGGTACTTATTTAATAATGAAAGTAATGCTTCAAGCGTAAACTTTATCGCGATTGGTTCTATCGCCATGCACATTTCGGTATGCATATATTATAAA